CATGTTTGAGTGATTCAACATGAGGAATGAGCTTTCTTTCCAGATGTGGTATATAGGTAAAGTTAAACCAACATAAAGATGAATGCCCATGGTAATCCACTAAGTCCCTATAACATCAGTTGATTTACATTAAATGTGCAGATTTTTATTTTTTTCATTGTGGGAAATTACTTTTTCCAGTCTTTTAAAATCTTTTAAATAGTAAATTAATTTAACTTGCTGTACCTTCTTTAAAAGCTGCACCATCCCATAGTTTGATATTATTTTTGAACTTTTTCTTTATTAACTTTATCATGTTTTATCTGCCATTGATATAGGTTTGTGTTCTGTGCTCTATTTAAAATGCATACAGAAAAATGTTATAAGTATGTAATACTAATAATGAAAAGGACTTTTCCCTGATCCAGTTGATGTTTACAGATTATACCCTTATTCTGAACTAGCTATTTGATTTCAATCACAGATACAGTAAATTTGCATAACAGAACCAATAGTAATGGAGGCTAATTGTGGTTATCCGATGGCCCAATCACGGCTCAGATCGTAGCATGTATATCTGTCCCTTCTGGGATCCTAACTCACTTGATTTTGTGCCATTTGGAAGACCACAACTTTAGAAGACTTGTACGAGATTGTTTCCTACATTGGAGAGTTATCTTTCTGCTATAGTTTAACCCTCTGGGGTCCAAGGTGTTTTTTGGGTCCTTGAGATGTTTTGACATACTCTGACATTTGTGCTTTTTTCAGTTGCTTATAAACATATTACTGGCAAAGGTGTAATTACACTCTATTTAGCACACACAGGGCTACCATAATGTGTTATCAACATGTATGTACATTTTTGTATTTTTGAGAGAATATTGTTTATGCGTGGTTATTGAAAAAACTAAAACTTAAAGTTTCTGAAATAAGGCCACAAAACACATACTAAATATCTGTCCACAAGACTTTTGACTAATGGATGTTGTCGCCTAGAGTATTTTCTTCAAAATGATCTGAAAATCATCCTGCCTTATCATTCCGTAAAACAATAGATTGGTTTAAATTTAAAAATGACACTTTTTGTTCGGAAAGGCAATATGCGCAGGGGTGTGACCTGCTGTGATTCACACCTGAGAAGACAATGGCCCGCATAATGAGCGCATAATGGGGCTGCATACTAATGAGCCTTTCATTCAGGTGTGTCACTGAGCCACAAGAATGCAAATTGTGCTTTCAAATTGTATAATATCAAATGTAAAAATTTCTAGTAATTGTGCAGTTAATTATCATACTGTTTTTACAGAAAGTTTGGGAATGTATCCCAAATGTGTCACTAATAAAACACAATACAAATAATTTAAAGAGGAGGCTTATATTGAGCTTTTAAGATTTACCTAAGATTTATTTATATGTAGCCTACATATATTTTTGCTATTTTAATAAAAAGGTTACAATTACAACAACAATTAAAATTTTAACTATATTTCAAATGTAATCTTTCTTTGTATTATATACTAAAGTATACATTTTATCATACATATTTCACAGTTGTGGATTAATTAGTTTGAATATAGCTTACAATCGAACAAACACTATAATAACATCTTAGCAAACAAGCTTATTTGATGTGGCAGTATTTTACAGTAAAAACGACATCTTGTCTTTCATATGTAACACATCGTTTTTATGATTAGGACATATAAATGTTAATTTGCAGTTTAATACGTTGCTTATACAAAAATATTTTATTTCAACATATTTCAGTCGATTTTTACTCATCTCAGTATTGGAATATAGTTAGGTAAAAGCTGTTCATTCATTCACACACAAAAACGCGATTCAAACAGTCTTTTTGTTTACAGACACTATTCCATATCGCGATTAGCACAAAGCACTTGAAAATAAAGAATGTACCTATTTCCTCGGCTGGATCCGTTGCTCCTCCAAATGAAACTACCTGTAGCCTACTTCTGAGGTAATTTTTTCCAGGATTATTATTAAGATAGAACTATTATTCCTCACAGCGTCGTAAATCTGAGTCTCTTTCGGTGGTTATCCAGCTGATGTGGGCGTGGATCGCCTCAGAGCATTTGTGTTTGAATAGAGCGCGCGCTCCGTGGGCGTGGTCAAATTAACTTTAATGAGCTGAGACGAGAACGACTATCATCTCTCTCTTTTCGCACAGATTACATAAAGTGAGAAAAAATTTTTTTTCTATAAATTACTTCATTTAAAAGAAGATAATTCAGGCTTCATGCCTGTGTGCCTGTATACCTGTTTGACTGAGTATTTGCAGAGTTACAGATGATTTTTCGGACGCGTTTCAGAATGGACTTCACTGACAGAGAGAACGCAGAACGCGCATCATGTTTATTTTTCTTTATTAGGCGAAAAGCACAACACTTTGTTTTTATTATGAGGTTCCACAAAAAAAATACAAACTTAACAGGATCGAATGATGTACAACACTTATATGTAAGATCAAAATTAACAGAGTAATTTGAGTCTCTTTTGCACTGATAAGGAAAAAAGTGAGCTGGTATCGCCGGCGAGACCGCCGACCCCAGAGAGTTAAAGACTTCGCTACCTACAAGATCCTAAGCAAAAGCGCACTGAGCCGTTTCTCATCTCACTTTCTTTCTTTCTGAAGTAAGAGGTAAGTTGCACATTCTAACTCCATTTTATGATGATTTGTAAATGCTAACATTATAAAATGCATTTGTATCCTCTTACAATGTTAGTATATGAGCAATACATTTATTGCAGTATTTGTTCATCTTTGTTAACATTAGTAAAATACAGCTGTTCATGTTAGTTCACAGTGCATTAATGTTAACAAATACAATCTTTGATTTTAATATTCTATTAGTAAATGTTGAAATTGACAAAGTTTAATAAATGCTGTAGAAGTGTAGTTCATTATTGGTTTATGTGTTTGTTGTGGAAAAAATAATATTTTAGTTTTTCATTTTGACATAGTGTGGGTTTTTCTTTTTATTCAATCATGTATTTTCTCTGCTGGAATATTTGCATATACCTGGCAGGAACAAAGGCACACACACACATAGCAAATGGTCAGGAAAGAGCCTCTAAACTCATTAGCATGGGTACTCAGGTGAGACAAAGGGGGCTATCCAGCCTTTGACCTCACAGGTGTGAGAACAGCAACGCCCAGAGAGATCATCAGATCATTGAATTTCTAATCAACCAATCTGGTTTTATTGGGGTAAGACAAAGGGGTTATTCAGCCTTTTGACCTCACAGGTGTGAGGATAGCAAAAGCCCAAAGAGAAGAGGGGTTTAGAGGGAATCAGACCATTGTATTTCTAACCAACCAGCCAGATCTGGTTTTATAGAGAGCCTAAGTCCCGCCCCTCCGCTTCCGGCTCATGGGACCTTGTTTTGGAAAAAATATGTATGGTAGTCAATGGCGAGAGACAACTTATCTTTTTATTCCGTCTGAACTGTGCCCTGAATTACACATATGATGTTTGTCAATTTAAAAAATAATTATGAAAGTCAAGAAAGTCGCAGTTTGTCATAAAACAGAAGAGTAACATTTAGTTTTATGTGAAAATCGCTCAATGAACTACATCTCCCGGGAAGCGAAACAACGAGCGAGATCCGTTGCTCGTGTGATGTCTTGTACAAAACACTCAGGCATGACGGCGTAACGTTACGATTATAACGTAAGACTATAGAAAAAATGACAGACGTTAGCTTCAGTAAAGTTAGCTTCATTCATTGAGAGAAAATGTGCGCCTTTTGGTTTGTAGTCTTTGTAATTACGTATTTTCAAAGTCTTATACCTCAACAGTTTTACATCAAACTGCGACTTTCTTGACTTTAAAATGTATCTTTTAAATTGACAAACATCATATGTGTAATTCAGGGCACAATTCAAACGAGATCAAAATATTTGTTGTCTCTCGCCATTGACTACCATACAATATTTTTCCCAAATAAGGTCCCATGGCGGTCGACCGGAAGGGGAGGGACTTAGGCTCTCTATTGGGTGAATGGAAATTTACAGGAGAAGGAACTCTGAAGAAAAGGGGTATAAAGGCTGTAAGCTTGACTGTGTTATTCAGGTCTTGTTCCATCATAGAGCAGCTGCCGTGGTGTGTTTTTGAACAACCCTCCTTTAAAAGAAATAAACTTTCTTTTAAAGTACAATTGGAATCTGATGTCTCTTACTGTGATACTTGTTTTATTAATAATTATTTTCTGCCATATCAGTGTTCATTAATGTAGTTAACTAATGAAACATTATTGTAAAGTGTTTCTAAATCCTCTTATTCTCAACAATACTCAAAATACTCAAATTTAAAAAAAAAGCGAATGATTATGGTAACACTTCACAATTTGTTACCGTTAGTTAATGTATTAATTAACATAAACTAAAAACAATACATTTGTTACAATATTTATTCATCTTTCTTAATGTTAGTTAATAAAAATGTCCATTGATTGGTCATGTAAATTTACAATGCATTAACTAATGTTAACAAATAAAAATTTTGATTTGAATTACACTGTAAAAAATAATCCTGTAAAAAAACGGTAAACTACTGGCAGCTGTGGTTGCCAGCATCATACCGTAAAAATACAGTGTGTTACTGTTTTTGAAATTAACAGCTAAATACCGTATTGTCAGCTACAGTATAAAACTTTAATTTAACAGCTATATGCTCTAACACAAAAACAGTAACACACCGTTTAGTTACGGTATGATGCTGGCAACCACAGCTGCCAGTAGTTTACCGTTTTTTTACAGGATTATTTTTTACAGTGATGCATTACTAAATGTTTTAATTAACATGACCTAATCATCTAATAAATGTTGTTTCAGAAAACCAGTACTTCCACATTCGGAGAGATCAAGAAAAATATGGTAAATATATAGAGAAAGATTTGTTCCTTCAGCTGAGTTTACTAAGAACTGTACACATGCTATAACATTTTTTTACATTTAAAGATGCATTTGCTAAATGCTTTTATGCATTTTACAGGACTCACGATGGAAGAATTCATTTGTAGACCTTGATTTAAAGCCTGGTGTGATGAAAATTGATGACCTTGTTATCAACACCGAAATGAAGATTGCAAATGGATGCAATGCTGCTGAGATTTTCCCAGGAGTCTTCAACAACTGCAAAGTTGCAGTGAAACGAGTTGCCAAACATGTTTCCAAAACTGAAATGGAAATGGCTAATTTCCTGAGTTCAAAAAATGTACAAGCAGAGCACCTTCTGCAACACATGTCAGTGTTGGAAGACCCTTACTTTGCCTATTTTGTCTCACCTCTTTGTGAATATAGTTTGATGGAGCTGATTGAAAACAAGGATTTTCCTGAAAGAAAAAGCCTGATAGAGAATCGAAGACTAGAGATCTGCCAGGAGTTCCTGCAAGGACTTCAGGAACTGCATTCACATGGGATTTTGCACAGAGACCTGAAGCCGGAAAATATTTTGTTTGGTAAGAGCAGTCTGTGGATTAACCATAGCTATAATTATCCTGTAATATCAGCAGAAATTCCCATTTAAAATGCATAAGCATATGAACATGTGGATGTCATTTTAAGTGTTAAAGTGTCATTTTATGAGCATTTTTACTTTTCTACAGATATCAACAACAAACTGTACATCGCAGACTTTGGAGCGAGCAGAAAACTGGATCTGGCACAAACCACACTGCTCTCTCAAATGGCTGGATCTTTTTCTTGGTCAAGTTATGAAGATGTTGGAGGCATGCAATACAAGTACAAGAAAGAATCAGATATCCAGGTATGGGTAGGAAATATCTTGTTAAAACCTGTTATTTGTGGGAGGATGCCGGCACATTGAAGAGTTCTTTAATTACACTAGATCAAAGTTACTGTTAGTTTTAATGTAAAAAAAAAAAAAGGGTTTAAGACTCAAGCCTAATTTTTTTTTACCTCTTTTTTACTATAAGGATATTATGGTGACAGTAATTTAATTTCTTAATTTGTGTCAGGTAAAAAAATCTGCTATCTGGTCATCATGAAAGAATTTGACTAAACAATGTTCAGTTTTACTTTATTTTGATGGTCCCTTATACACATTCTGTTGACTATATAACAGATTGCACCCAAATGTAAAGTTGCACCATCATGTCTACTATCTCTCATTGAGTGTTAGTAGTAGGGTATTAGTAGACTGGTAGGGTTAGAGTTAGAATAAGTTTGCATGTATTATTTTTTCTAATGATTGTAATTTTGATTTTATGACAACAAAAACTTCATGAACTACTGTATATATTTAATTTGGGGGTGACAATTGTTGGGTTTGGGTTCCAAAGGGGGGTGTGTAGATTAAAAGTTTACATGTATGCAGTTATAATACTATTTTAGTCTGTGACCACTATGATTTATCAAAAGAAAATATATAGTCATCAGTTCTACCAAAAATGTATACATTTGTTCTATGTTCAATTGTCCTGAACGCTAATATTCAGAGCAGCTTTCAGCTAATGAGCACAGCAGCAATTTCTCATTATTTCAATCATCTTTATTCATTCTGTACAGTTTAGTTGTGACCATTACTGAAATAATTTTTGAAATAATATTTTATTTCGTAGGTAGCAGGATGCTTGGTGTATTACATCCTGACTGATGGGCAACACCCCTATCAGACAACTACACCCTACTCCAAGGATCCAATTGGGCTATCTCAAAATGTCAGAATGGGTAACTTCACTCTTCAATGTGAAGAAAGATGGACAAGACAAAAATATATTATTAGCAGAATGCTGTCTAAATCGACCGAAGAACGTCCCACCATTGAGGAATGCCTTCAGTATTTCACGAGTATGTGTATTCCAAGACTTACACTTTTCTCTTCACCTCAATAATAAAACATTGTAGATTTTACAAGAACGTAGTTAAAAAAAAACATCCTTAAATTATTGGATATACATAACAATTGTTGTGTATTTACAGGTTTCACTGGAACCACAAACAACAACACCAATGTGAGTGAAAATGAAGTAAGTACTTGAAGTAAAACAGTTGAGGACTAAAAAGACAACTATGATTATAAAAGTGTTATGAGATAAACAGAAGGCTATAGATAGAAAAAAAACAGACCTTAAATCAGAAATTTGTTACATTGTTTTACAGGACAGAACCCATACAGCTGATTGCTGTCCCCAAACATCAGATGAGATGGACATCCTAGAGAATACTGACAGTGATAAGCCAGAAAGTGTTTGCAGTGATGTGATGGATTCATCTTCTCACACTGAGGAGGAATTATATGAGTCTGAAATGGTAATTAGGGGTAAATTACATGACCGGGTGATGAATAATGCATAGACCATTAATATATGTGGGGAAAGTTTAATTTATAACATTGTTATTATTTGCAAATACATTTCAGTTGTGTGTTTCTGTGTTTCAGAACAACACTGAACAACAGGTTTCCCGTTCCCTGGAAATGTCAGAAGAAGAAGAAGAAGAAGAAGAAGAAGAAGAAGAAGAAGAAGAAATAAAAAAAGAAGGACAAGTAGGGGAAGGTATCCGAGGAAATCCACTTAAGAAGAATTGGATGGAAATAGATGAAAGTGCCAAGGGCTGTAGCTCTCAACAACATAATATCAAAGTGAAAATGTCCTCAAACAGTGTACATCAACGCATCTATGTTTGCAGTGATGTGATGGATTCATCTTCTCACACTGAGGAGGAATTATATGAGTCTGAAATGGTAATTAGGGGTAAATTACATGACCGGGTGATGAATAATGCATAGACCATTAATATATGTGGGGAAAGTTTAATTTATAACATTGTTATTATTTGCAAATACATTTCAGTTGTGTGTTTCTGTGTTTCAGAACAACACTGAACAACAGGTTTCCCGTTCCCTGGAAATGTCAGAAGAAGAAGAAGAAGAAGAAGAAATAAAAAAAGCTGAAGGACAAGTAGGGGGAAATCCACTTAAGAAGAATTGGATGGAAATAGATGAAAGTGCCAAAGGCTGTAGCTCTCAACAACATAATATCAAAGTGAAAATGTCCTCAAACAGTGTACATCAACGCATCTATGACAAGAACAATTACTGTCTTTACTGTGAGAAGCCTTATGCAAAAATCGCAAGACATCTACAGCAGAAACATTCTGGAAAAATTGAAGTTGCAAAGGCACTGGCACACAACCGAGGCTCAACCAAGCGTAATCTTTTATTATCTAAAGTAAGGAACATGGGAAACTACCACCATAACTGTTCAGTCCTAACCTCTGGGAAAGGAGAGATCGTACCAAAAAGACAAGCAACTTGTAAGTCAACAGCAATGGACTATCTGCCTTGCCAGTTTTGCTTTGCTATGTATGTTAAAACAGATCTCTGGAGACATCACAAACGTTGCAAATTACGAATTAAAGTAAAAGAGAATATGCCAGTGAAACGAAAAATTCAGGCAAGTTGTTCTCTGTTGTTGCCCATGGACTCTAAAATTTCCAGTGGACTTAAACAAATTCTTGGAGACATGACATATGACAATGTTACTCAAGTGGTAAAATCTGACCCGTTGATTTTGGCACTGGGTGAAAGAATGTTCCTCAAAAACGGAGAAGTTTCACGGCACCGGGCAGACATTAGAAACAAGATGAGAGAACTTGCCAGACTACTTCTAGTGACAAGAACTATTGACAAAGACATTGTTACTTTGAATGACTTGATCAACCCAGGAAAGTTCAACACAGTACTTGAGGGAGTAAAAAAGATGACTGGATTTGATAACTTAACAAACCGATTCTTAATCCCTTCAACAGCACTAAAGCTGCGCCATTCCCTTGTGAAAGTGTCATTTATTTTGCAAGGAGAGGCTTTACGCCAAGAGGATGATGCCTTGAAGCGAAGAGCAGAGCAATTCAGTAAATTAATTGAACTGGAATGGACAATTCATGTTTCATCCAATGCACTGAAAACCTTATACCAGAAAAAGTGGAACAGTCCACAAATGCTGCCTTTAGCAGAAGACATAAAGAAGCTCCAGGATCATCTAAAGCGCCTTGAGGAGGTCAACAAAAAAGCACACATTGCCCACACATCACAAAGGTCATGGAGTGATCTCTCTCAGGTGACTCTAGCACAGCTGATATTATTCAATCGGCGCAGAGAAGGTGAGGTTTCTAGGATGGAAGTTGAAACATACCTGCAGAGAAATAAACACATGATTCAGGATGAAATTATGGAGAGCCTGACACCTTTTGAGAAGAAACTATGTAAGAATCTCACCAGAGTAGAGGAACGGGGGAAACGAGGCCGCAAAGTACCAGTACTATTTCCAACAAATGTCACAGAATCTGTGGAACTTCTGATTAAAACTAGAGAAGATTCTGGGATTTCCCCTAGCAATCCCTATATATTTGCTCGTCCTTTTTATGGATCACAGGAGAGCATCCGTGGGTGTGACTGCTTAAGGCGATTTGCAGAAAGCTGTGGGGCTAAACATCCAGAAAACATTACATCTACAAAGTTGAGAAAACATGTAGCCACAGTTTCTCAGCTACTTAACCTACAGACACATGAACTAGACCAACTAGCAACTTTCATGGGTCACAACATTGCCGTCCATAGGGAGTTTTACAGACTGCCTGAAGAAACCTTGCAAGTGGCAAAAGTGAGCAGAATTCTTTTTGCCCTGCAAAGTGGAATAGGCAAATTTAAAGGAAAATCTCTGGAGGACATAACTCCAAACATCAACTGTAAGTAAATCACTTATGTATTTTTAAAACAATTCAAAGTTTCTGCGCTTTGTAAAAATCTACTTTTAGTTAAAAAATAATGTGAATGATCATTTTGTGTTACAGTTGAAGGGGACTCCAGCAACTCAGATACAGAGGATGAAACATCTAAAAAAAGGATGCCAGAGGATGATCATTCTGAAAAAAGGGCTGCCACCTCAATAAAGAAGAGCAGCCTCAAGAGAGGCAGTTCCATACCTTAGTATATCACCACTGCCATTAAATAAAAAGGGTGTGTTATTCCACTTACCATAAATAATTGGGTAACACTTTACTTGAAGGGGTGTGCATAAGACTAACATGACACCTTCATAATCATGACATGACACATGTTATGAATATGAAGGAAGTTTTATGCATGTTTGTGACAACTGTCATTAGGTGTCATTCGCTCAATTATGACATTTTTAATGCAAATATGACATTGTTTGAGATGTCTTTGTCATGACAACTTGACATTACTAAGACAACACAACCTGTCATAAACGTGACATAGCAGATTAATTATCAAACTTAAGAAACCACTTAGCTTTATTGGTTAACATTACATTAAACTGTCAGGTGGTTGGTGTTGACATTGGCTGTCATGAAGCCATTATAACTGTTTAATGACAAATTCAATGTGTACCACTGTAGTTGAGGTCACGAAAAATATTCATGACACAGTTATAATGGCCTTATGACAGCCAATGTCAAAACCAACCACCTGACAGTTTAACTTAATTTAATTTCAAGTTGTCATGACAAAGACACTGACAGGTTATGATGTTATGGTTTATGTCAAGGTGTCATAACAAAGACATCTTAAACAATGTCATATTTGCATTAAAAATGTCATTATTGAGCGAAAGACACTTAATGACAGTTGTCATAAACATGCATAAACCCTACTTCATATTCATGACATATGTCATGTCATGGTTATGAAGGTGTCATGTCAGTCTTATGTACACCCCTTCAAGTAAAGTGTTACCAACAATTGTATCTACATGAAACATATTGACATGTATTTTAAGAAGCATTGGTAGTTCATGTCAGTGGAGCGTCAGTATGTCATAGCATTGGTATTGAAAAGCAATATATAATGTTATTATCATTGATGTTGTGGTATTTAAGCACTCATCACTGAGGGTGGAAAGTCTGCACTACCGCACGGGGGGGCTCTTTTAGTGAGCTTATGAGATTTTCTATGTGATAAACTTAATGGTTTATCATATGAAAAACCATTTCCGTTGTCAGCAGTGCAGCAAGAGCAAGTAAGAAACCTTTAGTTTAGGAGTGTGTGGACCTTGAATAAACTTTCACTTGATTTCATTCAACATGCTGTAGGTTTGCTTTTTTATTATTTGTTTTGCAATAGATTGTAAGGAGTGACATTTGTTTGGTTGTATTTAAATTTAGCAATATTTTAAACACTGACTATCTCTGTACATCAATATCCTAGAAGCAAAGGAAACAAAAAAGGAGATGTCTATACATTTTATTAGAGTATAAATTAGTATAAATTATGTTTTAATTAATAGGCAGCCAATACTATCAGTCACATTATTAATATCTTGGTGTTCTTGACAATAAACCTAAATGGGGTATGTGGACCGATCATATACTGTAAGTATGAAGCCACAACAGATAATGAATTTCCTAAAGCAATAACTTTTTGTGTAATGTCCACAACAGAAAGCTTCCAATGTTTTATAGTGCTTTCATCGAAAGTTATGATATTCTGGATTATTTGTTGATATGGAAATGCTACAGAGTTACAGAAGAAATCGGTAAGAAAAGTGTTAACAAAGGCAAGTACATTTTTAGGAACTGCATAGAAAGTATCTATGAAGAGAGAGTTAAATAAGGCAAATAATGTTATGAATGATACGAGGCATCTTCTCGCCTCTGCTTTTGAACTGTTGTCGCCTGGTCAACGTTTTTTTTACCCCCATGAAAAACAGATTCAAATAGTCTTTCCTCAAGCAATTCAAATATTGCCATTTTTGATAACTGCTGGTTTGGTAATTATGATTGTAATTATATATCTATCCATGCATATTGTGACTTCGGATGTATATATATATATATATATATATACACACACAGATCCATTGTAGAGGAGTCCCCTCTTGGTAAGGTAGACATCGTTCAGAGTTGCAGGTCGCAGTTATCTTGGCATGTTTAAAAAAAAGAAAATGCATTTTTCAGGTCTACCTATCATATTGGATGTCTATATATATATATATATATATATATATATATATATGTGTGTGTGTGTGTGTGTGTGTGTTAAACAGTGTGTGTGTTAAACAGTAAATACATATATACACTACCGTTCAAAAGTTTGGGGTCAGTGAGAATTTTATTTTTATTTTTTTGGAGGAAAGAAATCAATACTTTTATTTATCAAGGAATAATTAATTTGATCGAAAGTGACAGTAAAGACATTTATAATGTTACAAAAGATTCTAGCCCTAACCCTATTAATCAAAGAATCCTAAAAAAAAAAAAAAAAAAAAAAAACTGTACAACTGACAGACCAACAACTGTTTCAACATTGATAATAATAATAAATGTTTCTTGAGCATCAAATCCTCATATTATACTGATTTGTGAAGGATCATTTGACACTGAAGACACTGACACTGGTGATGCTGAAAATTCAGCTTTGATCACAGGAATAAATTACACTTTACTATATATTCACACAGAAAACTGCTGATTTACACTGGAATAATATTTAATACTATAACTGATTTTTGTTGTATTTTTAATCAAATAAGCGCAGCCATGGTTAGCTTATACTTACACTTACTATATACTATACTTACAATACTTATATTGTATATTATACCTGTATATTATACCTATACACTCACCTAAAGGATTATTAGGAACACCTGTTCAATTTCTCATTAATGCAATTATCTAATCAAACAATCACATGGCAGTTGCTTCAATGCATTTAGGGGTGTGGTCCTGGTCAAGACAATCTCCTGAACTCCAAACTGAATGTCAGAATGGGAAAGAAAGGTGATTTAAGCAATTTCGGGCCGGTCTGAGTATTTCACAATCTGCTCAGTTACTGGGATTTTCACGCACAACCATTTCTAGGGTTTACAAAGAATGGTGTGAAAAGGGAAAAATATCCAGTATGCGGCAGTCCTGTGGGCGAAAATGCCTTGTTGATGCTAGAGGTCAGAGGAGAATGGGCCGACTGATTCAAGCTGATAGGAGAGCAACTGTGACTGAAATAACCACTCGTTACAACCGAGGTATGCAGCAAAGCATTTGTGAAGCCACAACACGCACAACCTTGAGGCGGATGGGCTACAACAGCAGAAGACCCCACCGGGTACCACTCATCTCCACTAAAAATAGGAAAAAGAGGCTACAATTTGCAAGAGCTCACCAAAATTGGACAGTTGAAGACTGGAAAAATGTTGCCTGGTCTGTTGAGTCTCGATTTCTGTTGAGACATTCAGATGGTAGAGTCAGAATTTGGCGTAAACAGAATGAGAACATGGATCCATCATGCCTTGTTACCACTGTGCAGGCTGGTGGTGGTGGTGTAATGGTGTGGGGGATGTTTTCTTGGCACACTTTAGGCCCCTTAGTGCTAATTGGGCATCGTTTAAATGCCACGGCCTACCTGAGCATTGTTTCTGACCATGTCCATCCCTTTATGGCCACCATGTACCCATCCTCTGATGGCTACTTCCAGCAGGATAATGCACCATGTCACAAAGCTTGAATCATTTTAAATTGGTTTCTTGAACATGACAATGAGTTAACTGTAATAAAATGGCCCCCACAGTCACCAGATCTCAACCCAATAGAGCATCTTTGGGATGTGGTGGAACGGGAGCTTCGTGCCCTGGATGTGCATCCCACAAATCTCCATCAACTGCAAGATGCTATCCTATCAATATGGGCCAACATTTCTAAAGAATACTTTCAGCACCTTGTTGAATCAATGCCACGTAGAATTAAGGCAGTTCTGAAGGCGAAAGAGGGTCAAACACAGTATTAGCATGGTGTTCCTAATAATCCTTTAGGTGAGTGTATATGAAGAGTTTGGTTCCAAAACGCGATAAACGCAATTTTTAAAAAAAATTAGTTACTGCAAAAATCAGTATTGTATCTGGTTGGTATTGAAAAGTCAATGTTTAATTTTAAGTAAAATGCGATATCCGCCGTGTTATTCTGTCATGTTTTCTCCCTTTCTTTCCAAACCGCGACAAACGCCAGTCTCCCTTCTCTGCAGAATGCGATATATCCGCTCTCAACCAATCACAACGCAGCATTCCACGCAAAGTAAACAGTAACGGCAGCGTCTTAAATACACCCGGCTTCCTAGTTCTTCTGATCTATTTTGTACTTTTCGATCAACAAACAAACAAAAAATGAATAATTTTGACGGCATTGATGAACCTGTGGTTGTTTCTGCGGTGGGTGAGAAACGTAAGGCATCGAAATTGAATCATTTACGTGAGGAGATTAAGAAGATGAGGCACTCGGGAGGAGGACAAATGTTTTCAATCTTCTTTACAGTTCTTAATAAAAATATTATACTAATAAACTTACGTTGTTGTGTATTTTCAACAGTTTCAATATGAAAAAAAAACTTTTATATTGATTCAATGGATTAATTGCATTTTGATTTAAAAAAAAAACATGGATTTATTGCATTTTGGGGAAAAAAATAATCCGTTTTTATAATAAATCTTTGAAAATCAAAACCTGGATTTAATTTTTTTTTGTTATTATGACCTACAAATGCAATGTGAAAGTTTGAAACAGAAAATAGTGGTTTTCATCTTTTTACTTTCTTGGTAAAGAAAACACATTTTTACTCAAATTAATCTAAATGGATTTATTGCGTTTTGGAACCAAACTCTTCATATAGTCTATCACTTCACTGTTCACACACACACAGATCCATTGTAGAGGAGTCCCCTCTTGGTAAGGTAGACATCGTTCAGAGTTGCAGGTCCTATCTTGGCATGTTTAAAAAAAAAGAAAATGCATATTTGAAGTCTACCTATATATACATATATTAAAACAATGAAGACATACTTCACTGCCAGTTCCCTACACTATCACTTATTAAGTATCTATGAAGAGAGAGTGTTAAGACAAATAATGTTATGAATAATAAGAGGCATGTAGCTGCTGGGCCGTCTGTATTTTTACCCTGTTGTATTCAAATGGTCTTTCCTCAAGCAATTTTTGATAACAGA